CATCGTAGCATATTTATATGCATATTTATAATCATACGGTTCTTGGAGTGAGTGCATACACTCATGAAAGTTTAGTAACTTCAGGTCACTGCAACAAGCCCAGGTACAGTTTACCGACGGATGGGTGCAGGACCTTGAAATGCACCGTGTAGAACGAAAGACCATCGTACGTATCATAAGTTTACCAGTCTCACAAATTGTCGTCATAAATACACATTCGTTAACCGTTTATTAATAGGACCTTTGAGCTCAACGGTAATTAATTAGTAGTGGAAATAATTTCTGGTACCCATCACAGAAATGTAGCAGTGACAATAATACTGTATGCTGTAATCGTACTGGGCAATTAGTGATACAAAAAACCTGTTTTATCCTGTGAATAAAAGTATATGTTTTTGTCAATGTACCATAATAACAGAAGCGAAACGCAATATTGTGTCAGGATAATTCACTATTTATGCACAATAAATAAAGGAGCATAGCGCAACAATTTCTGTTCAGCGCCAGACTTGCTTGTAACTAGGGCTGAACGATTATGGAAAATAATCTAATTGCGATTTTTTGCCCCAATATTGCGATTGCGATGCGATATGCGATTATTTTTTAAGGTCTTTGTCTTCTGTATTATTAAACAAAGACAAGCAATACATCATATAGTATGGCCAATACTATATTACATTAATTTTAAACTGTTCTTTCCTGGAAGACAGACCTCTGTTATGATGACATGAGGTGATGCATGAATTGATGACTGACATTTTTATTTAACTTCTTCAATCACAACAGTATATTTGAACATACACAATAGTTTATTTTTAGCTTACAAACATCTGAGCATAAAGTGCTGACAAGGAACCCTGGTGTAAACATTAAAATGAAAGTCAGTACAATGTGCAGATTGCAGAAATATACATAAAAAAAATCAGTGGCTTTACCACACTCAGTTTTTCGACATCTGTGAACTACTAGACAGTCATTCAATTAAAAAATAATATTAAATAAATAAAACTAATAAATAAAAAATACACACATCTTACTGATCTCTGCAGTCAGTAACATTACACATAAAGTGCAAACATAATAGCAATTGTATAAACACACACACAAACACGCCTTTAAAGTTTAAAGGCGTGAAATTGGACGGTCTAGTTCTGATTAGCGTCACCGCTGTCTCGGTGGAGTTTAATAAACTCGGCCGTCTGCTTCTTGCTATCTAAAATATAACCAGACACTGGTGTAAATTCTCGACTGTCTCATACTTCTGTTTAATAAGTTTTCTGTTTGACGTTTAGTCAGCTGTGTGAAAACCAAGGAGGAACCCACCCGGGGGATTAATAAAGTTTTATTTTATCTAATCTAATAACTTTAATCTCAGCCAAACCGATTTACTCACGAACAAACAAAACACTGAAAAAAGCCCAACAATAACATTTTTAGGTTGTCTAAGTGACTTATATATTACGTTTAACCCGAGCAGCGAAACTCCGCGGTGATCTGAAAATGATGTGCCGGGAGTTGTGCCGTTCTCGGCCGCATCAGTAACCCTCGAGCTCCCGGCTAGCTGTCGAGCTGGTGGGTAGCAGACGCCTCTGAAAACGTCGAAGCACTTTTGCAAATATGGGATATCTTGATAAACCGAGCAGATATTTGATGTTTACACAACTACTTTCTCGCCTGAAAATATTTTAAAAGTTTATTTTGTGACCCAGAAAGATTAGTATGAGTAATTTTAAAACTTAGTAGCGGCCGCCATTGCTGGAAACTGGAGTTTGGCTGGGCCGCGCTATGAATTCTGGGATATGGTAGTAATTTGGACAGCCTTCGGCGCGTCGCTGTGACGTAATCGGTCTACAAATGCGGCCTCAGGAGGATGCAGCCCATGAATTTGGACATGTCCAGAGTATAATCGCAGCCTTTGCGGTTAGAAAATTGCACTTGATCATGTCGCGATATTATCGCAAATGCGATATATCGTTCAGCCCTACTTGTAACCTATATCACCAATTATGTTAAGAAAAATGACGCATTAACTACTAAAAAACACTGACCTTCGTGTAAATGCTTGGAGCAGACTAACCTGTGAGCTGGAGTGTTCTGGGACGTTATATTTGATCTTTGAATGGCTGCAATCCAGGCCATCCGTCGCGTCTTTGTTACTTCGGAAACATGGCTTGAACAATTTCTCTTCAACGACGTAATCCGATAACAACCGATCTCTTTACCCGTCGGCTTCCAGTGGCTGTCATGCGACCGGCTATTGCAGTTAATAATAAAACGGCTTCTTGACATTTTTGTGTTTCTTTTTATCGCTGTATAACTGATTTTAATTGAAAGCCTGCGTGCGCTAGTACCGCTTGCCACGAGTTCCCAGAATCCTTTGCGGTTCTACCCGTGAATGACGTCACATTTTCAATCTCTATATAATATGCATGTTAAATTTTATATTTGGGGTAAAATATCAAGTCTTTTCAAGTAAACCGGTTCAAGTCCAATTCAAGTCCCAAGTCATTGGTGTAAAAGTCCAAGTCAAGTCACAAGTCTTAGAACATTTTTTCAAGTCAAGTCTAAAGTCATAAAATTAATGACTCGAGTCTGACTCGAGTCCAAGTCATGTGACTCGAGTCCACACCTCTGTTAAAAACTGAGCTTAAATAAATGATTAGTGGTAATAAAAGCCGAGGGAGGTCAACAGTGATCACTGACTGTTTTAGGAGCTTTTTGAGATTAAATAGAAGAAAATACATAACATTAAACATGTTAACAACACAAAAGCCATATTAAACGCAGACTACTTTAGACCCGGAAGTAGGATTCGTCGCGTCATCACTGAACAACCGGATAGAGTCTTGTTTTCAGTAGAATGATTCTCAGTGATCTCAGTCTTATTTGCATGTTTGTGCAGCTGAGGTTGTGGTGTGAGTGCACTAGCACTATCAAGTGGGAGCAGTAGTTTTGAAGGGGGTTCATTTGGGATGATTCACCTTCCCTCTCCCACCTTTTGTCTCCCTTTTTCACTTGCGGGGTGTGGAGCCTTGGGTCGTATCGCTGTGCTCACACCTTTCCAAAGAAAGTTCATTTACATTTGAGATGGCAGTTACAAGGATACTTTAGCTGAGCGAAGTCCAGTGAACAGCGATTAAAACCAGAAGGTCACAGGGTCAACACACCGACTTTGCTGAAAATGTTAGCCGAGGATCTTCTCACTGAAATACTAAATCACTGTTGTCATGTTAAAATGAGTGATAAGATATCAGATTTTCAACTATACACCACTGCGCCCTTAGCTTTGTGAATGCAATCAAAATGTGGGAAACCTGGACTGCTGGTGGAAGAAGTTTCGAAATGAATCACGCAGAGATGGATGAAAGCAAAAAACAAAGCCTGACATTAACCTCAGGCAGAATACCGATGTGGTTTTACAAACATCTGTCTGGTTTTGTCGGTTGGACAACTTCAATTGTCTGGTTGAACTAGTTGCAGGAAGGTGTGTGCCTTTCAGTTCAATATATGGCATATCAGTCAACAGCGAGCATGTACAAACTTTATGACTGTTAGCCCACTGCACATAGGAGATTGGGATAAGCATAAAAGGAAATAAAAAGTCTGTGCTGAAACCAGCTAGAACCAGAACCTACGTAATAACCTGCTGTACAAATACAGAAATCATGAACCATTTACATTTTTTGCAGTTTATAATATCATTACATTGTACAGTCAAAAGTCCATGCTTTTAAATTGAAACATATGCGTGGTAAACTCTATTGTCCAGCAGCGTGAAAATGGGTTCATTCTATTTGAGATGCTTTCTAAAACATTTAGTTGTAATTTTAGGAGCCAGGTTCTGATGTTTAATTTCAAATAAGATGAATTTTAAAACACTTAGTTGAAGTCCTAACAACTCCCATATCACGCCACAGCATTCACAATCAACAAGGAGCATTCATTAGAACATGAGTTCTATTTTCTCATCTAATCAATAAAATGCTTCATGCATTTAACATGATTTCAGAAAGAAAAGCACAAGAGAAAGAACGTGGTGTTCTTAATACATGTTCGCCCTGCGAGAAGCTGATTTCTTTGACTGACTCACTCTGCCATTAAGCATGTACACAATCAGTGTTACAATGGGATTTACCAAATTTTTGTGAAGCTCAGTCCTCTTAAGGAACAACCTGCGGTTCATCTGTAAGATTTATGTAACATATTTGGGCCTTTTATGCTTAATTATTATTGAAGTACTGTACTTATAATTTGTTTTTCCATTTGCTTTTCAATTCTTCTTCACTGCCTTTTGAACAACAATGGATATCTGTTTTCTGTATTTGACAAGTTTGTTACACACACAACCAAAAACACCCACTTGAAGCATTTTTGTAATTTCTGCAATTGGTTTCATGTTTTAAACCTAATGTTGATAATGCTTTGTACATAAAATCATGCATTTTTATGCTTTTTTACTTTGTGTCTTTCACTTAAAAAGTACTTTGATATTTCTGCCTTCACTAAAAATATTCATGAAAATATGAGGGAGAACGTTTTGTTTCAGTTTGTACTTGAGGTTAGATTATTATTGATGCCCTTAATCGTCGATTTGAGTACAGGTTTGTAAAAACGGGCATTTTGTTTGCAAGACTGTCCATTGTTGTTCGAAATATTCAAAGTTCCCTATCAAATCCATCATTTACAGTTAAGTAAATCTTACTCCACAAATTGAAAAACTAATAAAGTAATCTGAAGACATGTTTTTCTGAGTGTATAGTCCCGGTAAATACATAATAAAAAATAAAAAAATTCAAATTTCTTCTCAGAACAAAAGAATTGCGAGGAAGAAAAAAGATGAATATTGTGTCATATCCTCCTCCTTTTTTCCCTCATCCGGTGAGAGGACAACAGCGGAGACGCCTTTCGCGCTCTGATTGGTTTTCCAGATGTAACAACGTCGCTGATTGGCTCAAATATTGCCGCTTCTGAGCTTCTATTTTGAACATAAATACGAGCAGCTTCAGTCCTTTCCTCACAAATCAGGGGTTGTCAGAGAGGAGGTGCCTTATGCTGTAACTCTCTGGCATAAACAACAGCTATGTGACTTTAGTGATTTGGAAAGACCAAATCTAGGTTTAACACCTCACGGAACCACCGTCTAACTTACGGCCGGTGTTTTGCTTCGTATTTTTGGAAATGTAATCTCAATTGTTCCTAGCTAGCTGCTTAGCTTCCGGGTTAGCTCGAAACTTTGACTGTCTTGCTTTCTCCGACTCGAAATTCAAACCAAATCTATCATACAGTAGTACTCCCGCGTGACTTTTGCACAGATTTGACAGCGAAAAAAGCAACATGGAATCTTTTTTTAGCAGGATTAGTCCTGTTAAGACGAACAGGCCCGACCGGATCCCCGAGCTTTCCTTGCCCTCTCTGCTTGAGCACAGCACTAAGACCTCGCACTGCAGGAATCTGTTTTCCCCTGGGCCCACGGCTGTGCTGTCTCCTGTTACCAATTTGGCTATGGACATGAACAATTTAGCTGGACTCGGAAGGTACTACTAAGTTTTTATTTGTTAATTATTTTCATGTAACTGCAGTTCCCGTTTTTCAAACCACTAACTACCCTGTCATCTGTTTATTCCTTTTGATCGGTTCTTTGCAATGCACAATACGTTTCAGTCTTGACATTAAGGAAAATTTTCTGTTTCTTTCTTTGTCGTGCAGCCAATGTGATACCCCGAAAAGGAGAAAGCATGCACCCCTCGAGAAGGTTCCCTCCTTCGCCTCTGACGTCTCATCTGATGCTGGTGAGACCCCGTTAAAGCTATTGTTTGTGCTAATTTATGCTATAAGGCCAAATGTTCATGGACTGAATTTGATTTCAAGTCACAAGATTCGATACGGTTATGCGGAATGTAGTATTGTATTATTTATTTTAGCTGCAGTAATATTTTATGTATTGTAATTTACGACTCAGTTACGACTCAAATGTATCAAGTATAGTCTTTTATTTATTTATTTATTTATTTATTTATTTATTATTTATTTGTAATTCCAGTCTTCTAATGTAAAGTCCTTACTCCACCAGACAGCTCACCTATGCACTGCAATATGAGAAATGTGTGTATACATGTGGCAGGTCAGTATCATCTATTAGTGACACATATCTCTTCCTTCAGGCCTGGGCATGGATCTCCCCAGCCCACTAGATGCCATCGAAGTGGAAGACACGTAAGTTAAACTATCCTCCTTCTGACTATTGTTATCAGCCTTTGAGCAGTGCGTCTCCTTACCCTTTTGCCCCTTCACCCGACCCTCCACCCCCACCCCAGTGCTAGGGTTCAGCAGCGCTAAGCACCATTTCCCATCTGAGGGATTAATATTTCTGCCGTTGACTTTAAGACGATGACCTCGCTCCTTTTTCTTAGACAAAGCAGATTAGCTGATACACCATGTGAGCTTTACTTTCTAAATCAATGTAGTGTGACATATTATGGACTAAACTTAATAGTTAAATATTGCAATTTTGTAGGTGGGAAGTAATACAACTGGGACAATATGCTCTGTAAAATCAGTTGGAAACCCTAGTGCTGCTCACTGAAAATACTGTTGCACTTGTGCTCAGCGTTATTATCTTGATCAGTTTGTTAGCATACCCTCAGCTGCCTAATCTTGGGTGGCCCTTTTCCTTATTCTCAGTTGGGTGAGTCTGCCCTGCAGACATCTGCCGAGGTCTGATGTGAGTTCTTTTGCAGCAGTTGGTGCTCAAGACTTCATTCACCTCCTTTTACAGCTGTTAGGTTGCTAGGAGTTTTCCATGATGGGGGGGAGGATGTGGCGTGCGTGCTCTGGTTTGATAACCCACCCCCTCTGAGCTTTGGCACACTCTTCTACTGCAGCCTTGTTTCAATAGGGAATTGAGGGCTGGAGTTTCTCTGCATCAGCTATTGAAATCAGGGCACCCCCAGAGAACAGCTGCCCTCCCTTCTTGTGGTCTGCACTGAATGGGACACGCTCCCCCCTCGACAAACAAAAGAGCTCTTGCAGAAAGGGGGCTTTGCAGCTTCGGCTCCAGCAGGCATATGGTAGATTAGCTGATTTCCGCATCCCTTCCCCTGACCTCCCTCCCACCCCCTGAGCTCTCAGGCCCACTTATTTAGCATACAGGTGGGCCGTACTCCCAATGCAAAGAGTACGTCTTGCCTCCATGCATTCACCCAACTTCCTCATGTCCAACCGTTCCTCTCGGTGTCTCAATAGAGTCCCAGACTCTTTGTAGTTTATGAGTATGCAATGTTTCGACTGACAGTTGAGGCCTTCCTAGTCTCTTTTCTTAGCAGATCTTCTTGCAAGAATATATTAGTTTTGTAATTTCTGAAGCATTCCTTGCTCTTCTTTCTGTTACAGATTTGAAAAAGCCATTCGAGAGTCAAGCAGAGTTGTCAATGAGTAAGTTTTGTACCTGGTATTATCCCCCCCCCCCCCCCCCCCCCCCCCCCAAAACAACATTGCAGAGCAGTTTAATTTTCAAGCCAAAAAAATCTTATCTCCTTATTTTATTGACTGCAATTCTTTTCTCTGCCATCTGTTGATTATAGGAGAATGCCAATTCGAAGAATCAACTCATTGCCCGTAAGTATTTTACAGCTTGTGTGTTATGCGTACACATATTATCTGTTATCCCCAGAGATAACAGATAATGTCCTGTTGTAGTTGTGATTTTGGCGCTTGAATAGGATTTAATCTTAATTTTTAAAGAGGAGTTGACAGTACACATAAACACAACTCAAACAAACCATACAGTGGAGGTTAAGCCTAAACGCGTTGCTAACTGATTCCCTTTTATTCCCCCACTCAGCTCCAGCTCATGGCCTTCAGTCCAGCTCTGAAGGGGCAGCAAAATGATCCAAACCGCTATGGAGTATTTGGTCAGCAACCTTCCCAAGTATCCACCTCTCAGCATGAGAATAAGGAGAACATGCCAGAGGTCAGTTGGACCAAAATCATTTACTTAAGTCTCACTGCCTTAGAACTAAGGCGATGCTAAATGAGCTTTTATTACTGTGGAGACGGCATTTCATCATTTGTGTTAAAAACGGGATATTTGCATTTTATGTAAGTGAAAATTATTAGTGTCATTAGCAGGTGCTTTTATTAATCTGTCACGTCTGTGTTGGCATTCCTTGTTTAAAATGCCTTGTTGTTGTTTTTTTTCTTTCAGGAAAGCTTTGAATTCAAGAAACCCACCAAACCTGCTTCGCGGTGTCGTGGGCGATCCTTTAACAACGGGCAGTCTAAGGATGCCTTTGCCTGCCGTCCCAGCTCCGCACCAGCCCTCATGGTATGTGAAGAATCTGTCTGCAAGTTAAAAAGGGGTGATCTGCTTCTCGAAAGATGCTGACTGATGTTTTTTTTCATTTTTATGTAAAGCTTTCTTCACCTCCTCCGGTGCAGCAGCTTGACTTTCATGACTCCAGCCCCATGTTTCTGAGAAGTTCCTCCCTCACCTCCTCAAATGATGATGAAGACGATGGCTTTTTGGATGTACTTGATGACAACATGGAGGTGAGTCCCTGCCATTCATGTTTTTATGGATTCATTTTTTTTCTGCAATTCCTTTTTGTCAGACTTGATTTTTAACGGCACCCATTTGTTGTTTGCAGAATGACTCTGGGGTACCGATGGGCATGGCCAGCTTACTCACTGCCCCACTGGTGGCTGACAGTATAGGAGAAGACTCTGTAAGTGTGCGTACTTTAGGTGCAGTATGTAAAGTGTGTGCCTGCTTTTCTCAGTAGCCACAGATGACTTATCCATCTTGACAACCATTTTACAACAAACACAATATGTCACAGCATAGTATAAAGAATAGTCCTGATGTATTTTGATGCAATCACCCAGAATAAATTTTGATGCTTTGCTGTCACAAGTTGTAGCACCTCACGCAAAATGTGGGTTGAATTTAAAAATGTACTTATTCTCGCATTTCTTTAGCCTGTGATTCGGTGCAGACCACGAAGCCTGTTTCGCTCTCCTTCGATGCCCAGTCCTGTTTCCCGTCTCTCTGTGAAGCGCGCTGACCGCCCCGGAGATGAAAATACACCCATCAGGGTGAAGAGGCGGCGTAGCCTTGCAGGAACGCAAGTAACCACCCTGGAACAAAACCCAGAATCCCCAAGAATGGTAAGGCCATACTGCCTTGGACAACATGCATCACTTTTGTTGTTGTGATAGTTGATGCAAGTTAGTTGGATGACTTGATCATTTTAACATGTTGGCCAATAACATGAGGAGCTGAGGTGAATGGGAGGAAGTAGCAGCATCTTCTTTTAAATGAAAACGGAATGAAGTGCATGCATGCTGAGATGGGTCTTACAGCATTGCTCAGGTCTAAGCCACGCGGTGCAAGATTAATAAAAACTGTCTTGTGTTACAAAAACGTGCTGTCGAGCTCAAGTCCTTTTCTGATTGAAACATTTAAAACCAGTGATAACATGGAGCTGCTGTTCTGAACAGACAGCAATGATCTGTAGGTGTGATTTAAAAAATCTCCACTGACCATCTGTCACCCAGCTTCTGAAACATCCACTGAGGCTTACTGGCTATTGTTCCAGGCTTTGAAGCTTATCTTAAATCGCTTCATTTTCTCCTTGGCTACCTCGGTAAGTGTCCCTCTCCTCTCTTTCCAGGGCTGCTCACTGCTCCAGAGGTCCAAGTCGTTCTGCCAGGCAGAGATTGAAAAGCTGTTGGACAGTGAGGCTGGTTCTAATGAGCTAATAGGCGATTTCACCAAGGTAAGGGAGAATGAAAACTCTTCTGTGTGCTTGTTAGTTAGTTGCTTGAAAAAGTGGAATAACGAATCCTCTTTCGTCTTTTAGCCTTTCGTTCTACCCACAGTGCATGGAAAACACCAAGACCTCAAATACATTACCTCAGACATGGTGAGTAGACGCACTGTGTCAAAGCGCTCAGTCCCTTCACAGTAATCACTGCTCCTTTTGAAAACATTAAAAGTATGTTCTGTGTGGTCTTTAGATGGTGGCAGCTCTCACTGGCCAGTTTGATCATGTAGTTGAACAAGTCATCGTCATTGACTGCCGCTATCCTTATGAGTTTGAAGGAGGACATATCAAGGTGAGTCAGTGACAGACATTGCAGTATACATAAAACTCGAGTGTTTCCTAATTTGTGTTGGAAAATCACACAGAACGATGTGAAAATCGGTGATAGATGTTTTCAGTAACAACTGTGGGGGGGGGTAATGATGTAAAAACTGCTTAATTAAAGACTTCTCTGTAGGTGATCCATCCCTGAGCTCTAAAGGTATTTGTTTTTGTTCCAGGGAGCGCTAAACCTACACCAGGAGGACCAGGTGAAGGACTTCCTCCTCAAGAACCCGATTGTCCCATCCAGCCCAGACAAACGAATCGTCATCATCTTCCACTGCGAGTTCTCCTCGGAGCGCGGCCCCCGAATGTGCCGTTTCGTCAGAGAGCAAGACCGCGCCATGAACGAGTATCCCAAACTTCACTACCCCGAGCTCTACATCCTCAAGGGTGGCTACAAGGACTTCTTCCCTCATTTTCAGGTTGGGTTTGATTTGATTCTCAAGGAGTGAAATATAAATGCTGGTGAGGCCTTGTGTATCTGGAGCATAATGCTTCGGTTTTAGTCCAAAGAACTGCGTGCTCATGTTTTAGCATATCAGTTATCACAGACCCACATGAATCTCAGCTGTTCAGTCCTCTGAATCCTCATCTCGTTCTCTTGTGCAGGCACAATGTGAACCTCAGTCTTACCGACCCATGCACCATGAGGATTTCAAGGAGGACCTGAGGAAGTGCCGCCTCAAGAGTCGCACCTGGGCCGGAGAGCGCAGTAAGAGGGAGATGTACGGACGACTGAAGAAGCTGTGAGCACGTCCTCATCTTCCCAACCTCCCGCTAAAACACACTGCCTCTCCATGAAACGGACTCAGTGCAACCTCCTCATGTGTCTAACGCCTCACTCTAACCAAGGAGAAATGCCTTCTGTGATTGCGCCAGCAGAAAAAGGGATTTTTAAATTTCCTACAAAGTTTCATTTATAGCCAATTTAGTTATTTATGCGAGTTAAAGAGAGAAGGATGTGGAATGATGGATCCTTGAAGAAATCAGCAGTGCAGTGAACAGATTTTATAAAGGTGATTTGAAACAATTTGTATGTTTTAACAAAACAAACCACTAGGACCTACTGCCTGTTTTTTACCTTTCCTTTTTTTTTTTTTTTTTTTTTAAATATAAGCTGGCATTAGTGATATGAATCAATGCCATATTGCAATATACAAACAGACCACACTGCCAGGACTTTGTCTTTCAGTCCCCCCCACTGGATTTTTTTCTTTTTTCTTTTAATGTCATGTACTACATTATATCAGCACTTAATTAAAGAAAAAAAAAAGTTGAATTGGAGAGGTGTCCCTGTCCCCAAGATTTTTATATATACATACACACACACACACACTTTGTTTTTAAAGAATGATTTGAGTATTCTTTGGAGTGTGCATTTCTCCAGGCATTCCAAAATGCAAATTGGATACTTAATGATAACATGTGAAAGCACAAGATCAATGCAGAGCTTTGCCCCATCACCTCCACCCACATCTGTTGCAATAATTATTTTCCTCAGTCAGAAGATACCAAAGCAAACAAAGCTACCTGTTTACTTTGCAGTGAGATTTCTCTGATGCTGCAGGTCAGCAAGTGTGGAAAGATTTTTTTTCTTTTTTTCTTTTTCTGTCTTATAAGAAGTCTTTTGTTTCGCTTTGACACCTTTTAAAATCCAGAGAGAACTGTCTAACCCTCTGCCGAGCTAATAATGTTGGTTTATAATGAGCAGGGTGCTTTTGGTATTTTGGTCCAGGCTTGCGGGGGAGCTGCTGAAATAAAGATCTGATGTGTGTTGAAATGAGATGAATAGCAGCCTCTTCTTTCTGAGTTTTATCACGCAGGATTTTAAAATTATATTTCTTTGCAAGTAGTTTGTGAATGAATAATACTTTTTAAAATAAACTTAAAATTCTTTAAAAATGGTTTGTCAGAATTATTTAATAAAATCAGGCTTTAGTTGAGCTTGACAAACTTTAAACCTTTATGGTTTTGGCAAGACCATCAAAGATCGAAAGTGTTGAGCTCTAATGGCCACAACCACTCGTGCAGAGTTTAAGGGACTAAAAGTGCCCACTGGCTTCATAATTGCCACGTCTATTAGCTGAAACCAGTTGTTCTATAAGAAAGTCTCAATGTTCAGTATGTATGTCCTACTAAGGAGTTGAGCTGCTTTGGTGAATACTAAAATTCATACTTAAAATTAGGACTATCAGTTCATAGATATATCGATCTCGGTCTTTAATAAGGCCTAGATTTAAAAATGTACAAAAGGCTCAATAGATCAATACTTTTATGCAATTTTTAGCCTTTGATGCATTTGAATATACTTTATACGTGAGTGTAGTCAGTTTATTACCCTGCTAATTGAATGCTTTCTTTGAAAAGGCAGCAGGTTTCCTGTCAATGATTAATAATTAATTGGTTGCCCAGAGGGAGTCTCTCCCCCCCCCGACTATTTTTCTGATTAGTGTTGAAAATCAATGACCAGTTCAAAGTGAAGTCACTTTAGCATGTGTGTATCTCACATCTTATTCATTGATATACATGCTATGTGTCAACAGGGCCACTATTCTTATTTCCTCTTCTCGTCTCAGGATTAACTTTAGTCTTAAATACACAAAACTACATTAAAGAAAGATGCTGATTTTGTATATTAATATTGACCAAGTTGTGATATTGAAATTTCATTCCAAGCGGAACAGTGATTTGTTTCTGATTAATAAAGTGATTTATAATGTAGGAAATGCTCTCTGATGGCTGCACGAATCACATTAGAGCCTCTAAACAACATTTGTTTTTGTAATTTTTTTTCACTGCTTTCTGGCAAAAACTAACTGAAAGAACTGATAGACCAGTTTAGAGAAACTTTATTCATATTCCGGGATATACACATTATTTGTACACATCCTGGACCTAAACTTCCTTCAGCTTTCAGCCTGAGTTCACCCAAAGCCAGTTTTCCACATTTGATCTCTAAGAATAGCCCGTCTGCCGTTTTGTTTAGCATGCCTGCTGTGCACGGTGAAGGATTTCTTTCCACAGGCTGCTTCCTGTTTTTTCAAATTTTCCCTCTCGAGTTGGCCGTGGGAGTGGCCTCTCCTTTCCAGCACGTGTCCACGCATACAAACACATTCCTCTCTGTGAAGGCAGTACCTGGCAGCTTGACGTGTCCTGACATGAGGTTAACTGTCCTGTTACAGGACAAGGAGTGGAGGGAAAATATCACAGTCACCACGTGCTGAAAACACGTGACATGAAGGGAGGAGAGGTTGTAAAAGCACAAGCCTGCTGGCACCTCACCAAAGTTTGAAATCAGACAGTTTCCCAATGTCCATGTGGCTGTGGGAACGAAAGGGCAAGGCTTTGTTTGCATTCCAGTGAGTGAAGTCTAACTTATTTACAGCCAGTGGCAAATTGCCGAAACGAATGTCTGTTGGTTGAATTGTGCAACTGAAGCTGCTTCAAGTCTCTCCTAAATCCTCTAAAAAATTACTGACAGCAGCACTAAAGAGCAAACACTACACAGCTTAATAAACGACTATTTAGCTTCCACAGTCTTTACACATACTGGTCCGTGAGTCTATGGTATCTTTCACCTTTTTTTTTTGCAATTACCAGGCCAGCTGCTTAGATTTGAGAGGCCTCACACCTTTACACGAGGCATACATAATGCAACACTTGCGAGATCCTTTCAATACAAGCTTCCCTTCTCCACCTCAATAGTCGTTTTTAAAATGTAGATGAGTCCTTGGCAGGTCCTCAAAAAGTAAACTGAGCCAGGTTTTACAATTAGACTCATCCAATTAGGAGATTTAAGAATTCAGCAAAGCAACAGTGGGACACTTAAACTGATTTCCACGAATGAATGCTGCATTACCGAGTGGCTTGTTCTCAAAGGTGTGCTTTGTTTATCTGACGGCTTTCAAAAGAGTTGAATGAATGTAAACTCTAAACTGTATACAACACAAACAGAAACAATATCTTATGTGTATGTTTTCCTTTTTTTCCCTCCCACAATAGAGGTCTCACTCCCTGTATAGTGGAGGAATCCCATATTTCCATAGTGAAAACAGTGTATATTATAAAGACATACCCTAAAGGGTACCTTCTGGGCACAACAGAGAATAAAATAAACAACATTTTCCATTCAGGAAGACTTGAAAACAGCAATCGAGTCTGTAAACTTTGAGGAAAGTGTCTCCTGGGGACATGGCTCAAGCGAGCCCAGGGCTGCTTTCCCACAGCTTGCTAGATTGTTGGACTTCTTTTTGCAACAAAGGGAAATTCTGAATGCATGTTTAAGGCACTCACTTCACAGACTCACTACCTATACTTTGCGTATACAGTGTGTGACTCTCTGATGGTGGATGCTGTTTGATGACCTTTCATTACTTTGGTTTGGATTTAGTCAAATGACTAAATGTGGACCCTTGATGGTGTGAAGCAATGTTCCTGTTAAATCAGTTTAATTAATTCAAATATGGCCAAAGACTGATGAAGATATGTAAAGACTTGACATGAGATGAAAAAGCATGCCAGCGCTCTGTAGAATTGCCCTTAAAACCTCGCCACCCTTCCTGTGACTGTCTTTCCTTTTCTGCAAAGCTGATCAAAGGTGCCCTCAAACAAACCTCCAGCCTGGGTGTCACCCATAAACCTCTGTTTGCTGTGCGACTGCCGACATTGTCAGTAAACTGACAAACCAGCCTGCAAATCAAAGGGTCGCACGGGCCAACAAGGGTGGTGAAATTCTGAAGCGTAACAGTGTGGTTTCAAGGAAAGGGTGGAGATTGTGGTTTTCTAAGGTGAAGTCAAAGTTTTTGAGGATTAGAAACTTCTTAATGTCTCACTCACAGTTCTGCTTTCTGCACACACACACGCACACATACACACAATTTAAGAAGATTTCACCCTGCGCAGCAGACAAAATGTTCTTTATGTCACTCGCTGCATGTTGTCTTCAGCTTCCTTTAATTCAAATTGGCGGGTTTCATCATTATTGGTCCGTATGACTGGCTGATTGCCCTTGCCATCCCCCACATCCTGTTGTTCTTCATATTCAGCTGGTTTTTATTTCATCACAAGGAAATGTGACTCATAGGTCAAAAACACCGAAACGTGTTCTGACTTTTTTTTGTGGTGATCTCGACACAAGTTTCTGCACTTCAGTCACGCTCGCTGCTTTTGCTTTTTTGTTTTCCTCCACGCTGAAAACGCGATCCTCGTCAAACAGCTGGTGTTTGAAGCTGAAATTTCACAATGACAACATAATCTGCCTTCACTTTCACACTGACTGCTCTCAATGATTTTGTCTAATTATTACCTGCAGTGATCTCCACCCTTTACTTTATTGCTGAGGAGCAATGTGTGCATGTGTAGATCATTACCTTATGTGTGTGTTGCAGAAATATTGCTCTCCTATGTCTATTTTGATGACAAGCTCCATAAAAGTAGGCTGAAAATTCTCTCTTGGTTTCCGAGCATGAATCAAAACCAGACTTGAACTGAATCCAAAGTAGTCAGTGTTTAAAGCAGCAGAATCGTTTTAGTTCACGGGCCACTTGATCTCAAGTGGGACGCAAAAGTATTGGATCATTTTTCTTTTAGTCTCAAGATTTATATTGTGGAAACGTTCACATTTGATGAACCACCCATTCAGAAAAATTGATGACGAAAAGCTAATGAAGTCTTGAGAAAATAAATGCGTCTTCAACGCTCTGACTAATTTTTTCCATGTTCAGTCATTTCACTATCATCATAGAGAAATGCACCAGCCACGCAGTCGTACAGATTAAGCTCTTTGTTAGGCTTGTTCTTACGTTTGACACACTGGTCTAAAGAATAGTTAGTTATTAAGTTACATTCATTCAATTCTTTTCTGTCTTTTCTGTAAGTGGAACATAATTTCACCTGCACAACATTCATATGTTAACCAGTGATTTGAGAAGTGCTACAACTATCTTCATATTTTCCCATTTTTATGTCTGTTCTTTTAAACATGGAATTTTTATGCGCATCTTAAAAGTACAGACAGTTGTTTTTAAAAAAAAAATGTATTTAATAGAGTCAAAGAATGTTATTCTCATAAATGTACAGTAATTGTTCCAACAAATGTATGCATTGTCATAACTTTGAATTCATCCATTAAAAATACACAGGAGTTAACACCGGTTTGTGGCAGCTACTATGTTGCTCCGCCATCTTGACTACAATGGCCAAGATGGTCATCATGTTCCACCTACCGTAATCGCATCTTATGTATGCGTCTGGAGACTTGCAAAAGGTGGAGAAGAAGAGAATCTGGACAGCTCAAGGCTGGCTAGCTTACAAACAGCTGTTTATAAGCTAACATTGTGAAAGCTAATGGAGTTTCCTAAAAATCACACTTTCCCTCTGATAAACAGTTTGATTACATTCTCACGTCATATGAGTTTATTTACAAAGTGCCAAAGTCCAATAATGTTATATTAACTTCAAAGTTCCAATTTTCTCTAACACCAGTTAACAGCGGCTAACCGAGTTTATTGGTGGCTAACAGCTAACAGGATATCTTCAAAAAAAGATCATAGTGTCTGTGCCATTGAACAGAAGTGAACATCGCTGACACATCAACTCGTATTCAAGTTTTACAGCCTCCTAAAAGTAAATAGACGTGGACGCCTCTCATCTGCATATTGACAGTTGAGGCAAACAGTGGCCTGCCCAGATAGCAAAAAGACTCCAGGGCAGATTTGGTCCAGAGTCACTATAATGCCTGAGTACACTCACTACAGATTAATGGTCTGTCTTCTGGAACAAATGGTAAGC